TGTGTGATGCTTCGGACATTAGCTCACAGCTCCAGCTCAGGAATGCCCTTGAAGTTACTATTAAACCCAAGTAAATCACCTTAAGCTCTCATAGCAACATCTGTCACTGAGTGTAAGTTGATATTTTACAAGTATAAATACTCGGTGTTTTGCAATGTAGACAGCAACATTTCGATAAAGACTCAGGAAAATACACAACCTGGTAAATCAGGCAGAATGTGGATGTTGCTTATGCCCCTTCTGACTTGGAGTGGACTTGAAAGCCCAGCTTGATTGAGAAGAGCAATATTAAGCAGACACCTAGGAATGAGCTAAAGGGAAACAGGTAACTTGTTAGCTACCTCGATTTTATTTAGGAAACATGTATGGTATAAGCGATGGACCAGGCTGAGTTTGTGTGCGCTTAGGCCCCTCAGCACAGATGCAGATGGATTCCTTTAGACTACAGCGTTCCTGCGCAGGTAAGGTTACCTCAGAGACCAGCTTCAGGGCCTTGGGTCTCTGAGAGGCTCTTTGACAATGAACTGGTTAAGTATGTGCCTGGTCACCCACAAATCTACTGGGAAAGTTTTATTTCTTTCGGTTTTGATTTTTATGTCTTTTTCTCCCCGAAACAGGATCTCACTCTATGCACAGTTTTAAATGCTGTTTTTAAATTTTAATCTCTGTTGGGTCCTTAAATATTCTAGGGGTTAGGAGAAGGAAATTCTAACGGAACTGCTTAGAATTTTGAAGCCGGATTTTGCTACTTTGCATCTCAGAAAATGCTGGTGGGATCACTAAGCTCGTCCCTTCCTATCTTCTTGCTCGCTCTCTCCCTGCCCTTGCCCTGATGTGATCCGCAGTGGGATTCGGACCCGGACTAACAACGCGAGGGTCTGCTCCCACGCGGCACGACACGCAGCTCGCAGGTGGCCGGGGATCGTCCCCCGCCTGCCTCCTCCACGGAGCAGCGCCCCCGGCCCCGCCTCCTGCCTGTCGCTCAGCGCGCATTGGCGCTGCCGCCTGTCGGTCCCCCAGCGGCTGGGGAGGGGGCGCCGCCCGGATGCGGTCCCTCTGCAGCTGGCTGCTAGCTCACAGGCGCGACCGCGGATCCCTGCTGCCTGAACCCCCTACCCAAGAGCGCACTCGACCTTGGGAGCAGGGTTGACCAGGGACCCCTGCAGTCCTCGGTAAGTAAAGGCAGGGCACGAGGCTGCGGGAAAGGGGGTCCGAGGCAGTGTCTGGGGTCTCTACTGGGCGGGAGCTGCCCACTGGACGCGGGAATCCGGTTCCGAGATGAACCGAGGAGGTCGATCGTTCGCTGCAATCGCCAGCCAGACGACCCTCATCAGCTCTATCCACCCACCTCCCCACCTCCCTTCGCGGGAGAAGCATGGGTGGCCCATAGCCCATTTTCTTTTTTGCCCATTTTTGGGAAATGTGGTTTGGGGCTTCTGGTCATTATAATGTTGCAGATACCTCGAAGCTGAGTTATCTGTTCCATGTCCCCAGTACCATCCTTTTTAAACACTTTATTCTGCGGTCTGTCTCCTGCCAGAAGGGACATCAAGCCGGAATGAGTCCTGGGAAAGATTTGCTACTGTCCTTAGAAATGATTGCTCCGCTCCAGGGAAAAGGAATTCTGGCGTTTTAGACCTGTGTTGTCAGGGGCGACTAGAGACTCTCAAGATTTCCTGAGGTCACAAAACTACCCATGCAGGTTGAGGGCAAATCATTTGCAGTCTAACATACTCAGCAAAGTTGTAATGTCTACAGACCGCATTTTCAATTAGGTTTCTGTTTGGTTATTTGCTTTATTTCTACAGTGTGATATACACTTAAGAGAGCACCAAAAAGAAAGGGCCTCAAGAAATTGCCCTAGGCCATTTCAGGTTAGTTGCAAAGGATACATTTCCTGAATAGAATCCAAGCCTATTACTTCTATCAGTAATAAATCATCTGCTTAATAAAAACAGTCAGAAGGGAGAACTCACAAGAGCTGAGTAGACTTAGCTAAAATCAGCTGTGGCACTCGTGTTCACTGAGGCGTTCATGAGGTTGTAAGGTGCAGCATTTAATCTCCATCGTTGTCCTAAATTCAGTGACTTGATCTTTCTGTCAGAGGCATGGAGAGCAACAGCCATCTAAGACTATTGTATCATAAACGGATTTTCAGGATTCCAGTGCTTTCTCTGGTTCATAGAATGAAGGGCAACACAAATGAAACTTCAATAGTCTGAGGTTTACATAAAAATAGTAAAAAACAAAAAAAAACCTTTACTTTAGAACACCCAGCCACAAAAATCCATAGGATTAAGAAAAAAACCTATTTTTATTGTGAATTGGGTGGTTTACAGAGCAAATCAAGTTTCCATTCAACAGTTCACACACATTTTGATTCATGTTTACAATTCCCCACAAAGGTAGCATCACTCAGCCACTTCCTCCTCATTTCCCCTTTTCATTCCTCCTCCTCCCTTTACTTGTGTTTGAACTCAGCCCTTGGGTAAGTGCTGCCCTTTTTATCTCAGATGACTACACACCTCGCTAGTGTGACTGTTCCCCTTTTAAACAGGTTTGTTGTGTGGTTGAAAATTGAGCCATGGGGTGAGTTCAGTTCCAGCCCTGAAAGGTGGCTAAGGGCCAGAGAGAGTCGCAGGGTTCCACCAGTTTCTAGCCTGGTCTTCTTTACGATTTTGAGATTTGTTTTACATAAAAAATTCAAAGGATTTTTGTTAAAAGAATCATTTCATGCCTCTTTGGTAATGTTATATCATTCTATGAGGTAATTTTAAAATCCTTACATATAATTAATCAATTTGTCAATTGCTAGTTATCAATTTATATTTTGATTGAAATTGGTTCCAGAACCAAGAAAATAAAATGTAAAGAATTTCAAAAGCTTGGTTTTAAAATAGCAAAAATTCAGTCTCGTTTTGGTTCCGTTATGAATTGATGGGCTGTATCAGTGGTTCTGCTGGAGAAAGATGAGGCGTTCTGCTCCTGTAAAGATTTACAGCCTAGGAAACCCTGTACAGGGTCACTATGAGTCAGAACCAACTCCACGGTACTTAACAACAACAATGTGGTGCCATAGGGTCAGCACTGGACTGCGAACCACAAAGTCGATAGCTCAAACCCACCAGGTGCTCCTTGGAAACAGGGTCGCTATGAGTCAGAACCAACTCAACAGCACTTCACAACGGCAACAGCAATTAATGGAGGTGCTGTAGGATAAGCACTAGACTGCCAACTGAACGATCTGTAGTTGAAACCCACCAATTATTCCTTAGAAACGCTATATAGGGTTGCTATGAGTAGGAACCGACTAGACACATTTCACAACAACATTATGGTTAATTAAATGATCATTAAACAATGCTTTAAAAAGTTGACGAGTTACGAGTCAGGCTGCAAACCTCAAGATTAGCAGTTCGAAACTACCAGCTATTCCATGGGAGCAAGATGAGGCTTTCTGCTCCCGAAAAGATGTGCAGCCTCAGAAACCCTATAAGGGGTCGCTGTGAGTTGGATGGAACCTAGTCCACGACACACCACCACCACCAGCACCAGCAGCATACCTAGTACAGATTAGCATCTTCATTTTCTGAAGAAACTCTTAAAGCCACAGTAGTTCAAAGAGTGGGCTTCAGAAACACAATCCTGAATTGAATCTGAGTTCTGCTGCCTACAAGCTTTGTAATTTGGGGCAAATTGCCTAACTTCGTTAAGCCTGCGTTTCTTCATCTGCACATGGTTAATAGTGTCACCTCCTCACTTTACATTGTGGTGAGGATTAGAAATGTATGCAAAAGTGTTTCAAAGGCATAATACACAGGAGTTGCTCAATAAATGTCCACTGTTACCTTTAACTCCTCCTGGACTTCGGCTGTGTGCTCATTATGATGTGTTCATCAGCTACTCAGATGACAGTGCCTCAACCATATAGCCAAATTCGAGTAGAGAAGAGCCCACCCACTGCCATCGAGTTGATTCCAACTCAAAGGGACCCTATGCAGGGTTACTGAGGCTGGCAATCTTTATGGGAGCAGAAAACTTCCTTTCTCCTGTGGAGAAAAAAGCAGCCCAACATGTAACTACACCATTGGGGTGCCTTTAGAGAGGACTGTGACGTTAAATATCTTTTAGATGATGACTGAGAAGTAGCACCTTGCTGGCAACATACGTTTTTAGAACAAAACCTTATAGTACGATGGAGAGTACTGGCAGGTCATGTTCTTGAGTTTTAACTCTGGCTAAGACTTTCTCTCGCTGTGTGGCTTTTGCCAGGTCCACTGCCCCCTCTGGAGCTCAGTTTCATCATCTGACTGGATTTGAATAATCTGGGAGAACTGAATGATCTAAGGTCTTTTGCTATTTCATGGTTCTCTAGTGTAGTAATAGAAATCACACTACCTTGCTCACTTATTCTGCCCTTCAGTGTTGTTTGTTTTCTGTTAGTATCCTTTCTAAATTTGCATTTCAGAGTTATATGCAACTCATAATGACAGCATAAGACAGAAATGGCAAAAATACCAGATTTGCAAGGTACTCAAAAATGAAGTTTTAACAAAAAGAATAGCGCAAAATAGATTTCACACTGAAACCTTTTTGATAAGGCAAAAGTAATTTTTATTACTTTTTATTCTCTCATTATTTTACTCCTAGTAGAATCATATCCCTTCAATTGAAATAGTCTTTAGAGAAAATACTGGCTAACAGTGAAATAAAATACTATTCTTTTGTCTCTCATCAGGTTCATCTTTAAATAAAGCAAAAATCTAACCAGTAAAGGTCTTTCATGAAATTAAAGAGAGAAATTACAAGAAATAGATACATCAGGCATTTGGCTACTAGAGAAACCACCTTCAACGTCTGTGTGGATTAAGACAAAAGGAATGAAAACACCTGGATGAAATTTTGCTTTGTATTATGTTTTTAACTACCTTTTAGTCATAAAAGCCTACTGAAGAAGACACAATATAGTTTTCTCTAGAATGAAAGAGTGTAGTGTGAAAATGGAGACCAATGTTTCTGAAATCCAAGTAGAAAACAAGGATGAAAAGAGATCAGCAGAAGTTAGTCCTCAGGACAAGAGACAAGGGGAACAAACCTCTGTTCTGTGCTTCAAGAGACGGAAGAAAACAGCCAAAGTGCTTAAGTCCAAAGCTGGGTCTGAAGCCACCCATGAAGCCGGCACTTCTGATCAGCCACACTCCCTAGGAGGGGCCTGGGCCTCATTCAAACGTCTTGTAACACGGAGGAAAAGGGCAGGTTCTTCAAAGCAGCAAAAAACCCTTGAGGCAAAAGTGCAACCTGAAATAAATGCTGAGGATGTTGGTCTTTCTAAGAAAAAGGCAAAATCCAGACTTAAAATTCCCTGCATAAAATTCTCAAAAAGTGAGAAAAGAAGTAGCCATTCCAAAAGTATAGAAGATGTGGACTGCAGCATCAAAGTACAGGGAGAGACTGAAAGTTTGGATACAAAAACTGAAACTCAATTGAATGACCAGGCAACAAAGGCCAGATCGGCCCAGAATCTAAGCGAAGGTGTCACACAGAAAGATGGGGATGAGCTGTGTGAAGCAAATGTGAGCAATGCTACCACTTCTGCTGAAGAGAAAGTCGTTTCGGTGGAACTTGGATTAGATACTGGGCATTCTGCTATTCAAACAGAAACTCCAATTCTTGAAAGAGATAATGAAACAATCCAGGAAAAACAAGGTGGTCAGCTTGAGGAAGCAAGTCCAACTGAAAGTTCAGAAACAGACCATCAGCAGCTACCGGTCGTTTCTGATGTTCCTCCTCCACCTACAACCCCAGATCAACAAATTGTGGAAGAAGTCAGCAACAGTATCCTAGAAAGTGCACCAGACTGGAAAGTCCATGAAAGTCAACAGATGATAGCTGAAGAGAGTAAGCCTAAAGATAGTGAAGAGAGTGCAGATGAATCAGATATTAAAGAAAACGGGATCATTGTGGAGAAACCCAAATCAGAAGAAAGCAAAAGGATGGAGCCAATTGCTATTATTATTACAGATACAGAAATCAGTGAATTTGATGTTACAAAATCTAAAAATGTGCCTAAGCAATTTGTAATTTCAGTTGAAAACGAGCAAGTTGGGGTTTTTGCCAATGATAGTAGTTTTGAGGGTAGAACTTCAGAACAATATGAAACACTCTTAATAGAAACAGCTTCTTCTCTTGTCAAAAATGCTATCCAGTTGTCTATTGAACAGCTAGTTAATGAAATGGTCTCTGGTGATAATAAAATAAACAGTCTTCTGCAGTGACTTAATTTCCAGATCGTGGGAGAAGTAAGGTTCAAGAATGAATTATTTTACTTATTTGTGGCATTTCTTAATCATTACCAAATGAGAGATTTCTTATCTGTGGAACTGAAAGATACAGTTCCAACCCAGAATTACTAAGAATAAATCAAGTTTATATAAGGCCTCCCTATGGAATCAACTCCATTGCAACTAACAGCAATCACTGAAATGCAGCCACTTCTGGATCGGAGGAAGTCAGTGCACAAAGCAATGCAGTGACATAAATGTGGGAGCTGTTAAAAGTGGCATGTGGATGTTGGAGAGCTTTGAAAAGGGAAGGAAAGTGTGTTTAGTGAACACTTACTGTATGCTATAAGCTCTTTTGTCATCTGGTGTTATAAAGTCTGGTTTCCTTTTGATAGTTCAACCCTGTGTATAGGCTAACATTGCATTTTTTTTTTTTTTACAGTGCATTTTTATATTGTTTAAATTGATAAGTTGAACTATATTTATGAATGTGAGATTTATAGTTGTTAAACTGCTAGGCAATGATCTTACTTCAAAATATGTATTGTATTTTCCCAACTTCAAAAGTAACAAAAAAGAGTGATATTATTTTTCACCCAGGAGAAGGATATCTTCTGAGTAACAAATGACCACAGAGACATCTGACAGGATGATTTCTCTAAGGACCAATCCAAGAAACATCAGTCTCTCCTTAAAGAAGGGAGAAAGGGATTCAAGGCCAGCCTGGAAATAAAAAATCCTGTGGAATCAGAATCATTTAGTGAAAATATTACTCATTCTTGACTAAGAGTGAGCCATGTACATGACTGAATGGAGAGTGAAAAGTTTTATTTTAAATGTCAGCATTCTTTCATTGTGTCTGTGCTTTGAGAGAGATCAGTAAAAAGCATTTTACATGGATCTTTCTCCCATTGGTATTTTCAATCAAGCTAATCCTTTCTCTCTCCCTCCCACACCCCCCCCCACAAAAAAAAAGAGAGAGAAAATTTAACAACTGAGAAGGGTTTCTTTGCATTTTTATTCAGATATATAAAAGAACATCTGACCTCAGCAATGACGGTCCTGTTTTTTGAAAAAGTAATTATATTTTGTTTCCTTGTGTGAAATGACCGTAATAGTATTATGTACTTCCCTGCCTCACAGGTTAGGGTTTATATAGTATTGTTCCCCTTTGTCCAAATTGAGTGATGGCCAGTTACTACTTTGAAAGTAGATGAAGTCATGAAGAGCTTCCACTCAAGTTGTAAAAGAGCCCTTCACAGAGCTTCTTGGCAAAAAGAATGTATATTATTAGAAGATTTTAAATGATCTGGGTGCATTCTGCATTATTTATAGACTACTTATAAAAAGTATGCACTCATTTATCTTATAGAAGAATCTTCTGTTTCTGTCTCTAAGTACATATTGAGGCCGCTGGCATAAGAAACTAATCTGACTTTGGACTGGAACCAAATAATAGATATTACTAGCAAGATTCTTTGCTGAAATGCTTTTTCTTCTATGCTTATAATCTTGGAGAGAGAGAGAGAAAAAAAGTCCTTCAATTTAGCAGGTTTAAAGGTGGTTTTTCAAAACATGACCCACAAAATCAATTTCTTTTAACTGTACAATTTCTAAACATCTTTTTAAGAGACTGCTAAGTTATCATCTCTAAAAATGCTCTAATTCACTCTATGCGGTGCTAATGACCTTGAACAGCTACCAGCAAATATTCTATCATGTTAGAAAGTGCAGTTTTAAAAACTTGATTAAGGTTGGTGCATTATGAAATCCTGTTTTCATTTATTGCAAGGATGGCTCAAGCCATTGTACTATAGTTGCATTATAAATTTGTAGTAATCTCTCATGAATCAACAAAAATGTACAGCACTTACCAGTTTTAAAAAATATTTTGGAAGGTTTAGGCATATTTATTTGAGATTTCTAAAAAGATAAGTAACTATGATAATGATTTTATGTATGTGTTTTTGTTGATAAGAAAATAACATTTTATCTAACTAGTTTTAGGTTTCTACTTTTCCAGCTGTGGTTAGATATATTTTTTACTAGACAGTATTATGATTGATTGTTTTTACAATGAGATGTATATTTCACTTACATTCATTCTTTGTTGTTTCCTCAGTCTTTCCTATGGGGAATATTGGGGAATTAAATAAGTAGGATTCCAGCTTGAAAAAGGAATCTAGAAACTGGTGTCGATCTGATTATATCTGGTACATGGCCATATTCTATTACTGCAGTGATTTCTAAGGTAGTCCAAACTGTTTTCTCATTATAGAAATAAGCAGAAGCCGGATCATAAAATATTTTAAAAATTATAACAGTATTTATTTTAAGCAATTTAACCTTTTTATGTAAGATACAGGCTTTTATTCAATTCATATCCATTTGACAATACGAAAATGATTTCTGAGGCAATTAAAACAAGTTTTGCTGAGATAAAATGTTGCTTTTAATGAACATTAGTTAGCTAGGATTCAGTTTCTCTTTGATTTTAGATTTTTACAAAATTGGGAGGTTTACTGGCTACTTGTTAAATTTTGCAGAATATTATTTTCCCCCTTTTAAGAGTCCTTTGCTTCTTACAACCCCGTGCATATGAAAATCCCCCTGTATTTTATGTAGCACTGTTCACTTAACATTTTCTCAAAGCACTTTCATAGGATATAAAAATAGTACTGGTAACATTTAAGTAAAGGTAGCAGAAAACAAAAGAACTTTCAAACAGAAATTATGTTCCCTGCCACCTCCTCCACCTCAAAGAGTAATAAGCATGTGGCACAAATGGAGTTCTTCAGAAAAGCTGGCTGCATAATTTTCTCTCAAGGCAATCTGTTTGACAGCACCAAGTTTGTGACACTTTTAATTAGTCTACTATTTAGTAGAGCCTTAGAAACTCAGATTTCCTTCTGAGAGATGAATATTTCATCAGTATATGTGAACAGCCTTCCTGCAAAAGGTACCTGGAAGTATGGGCTATAGGAGAACATTGGGCAAAGCTGGTTTCTGTGTGGAACCCAGATTAATTTCCACCTCAAATGTCTAACTTTGAGTTGCCTTATTTTTTATAGTTAAGAATTCATTTTTTAGGAGTTTACAGCAGAGTTAAAAAAAAAATCATTGGTAGATAAAAATCTTCTCATTGTTTGAGAAGATCCACTTACTGTTGACTTTATTCAGCTATGTAAAGTCTCCTTTCTGACTTCATCTGATACTCAGTACAGGGTGTGACTTTCTGCCTGCCGTTTCCGCACTTTTAAAAGTCCTCATTTAAGGCTTGGGGTTATTTAGGTTAAAAAGTGTTTTATTGTACAACATGAAGTTTCTTATACAGAATTCAAAATTGCAGTCCATATTTCATTTTGTGGTACACTTTCTAAAAAGAATTAAAGATCCTTATTCAATAACACAATTTTAACTTCTCAGAAGGAAACCACATAAAATGTAGTGTGTCCTGATTGAATTCAACTTGATTCAACCCAAATGGTAGGCCAGGACTTTGAACCAGTGAATTTTGTTCTGACCCCCTGCTGAGAATTTGCCTTTCCATCCCCAGTATGTTGAATCTCAGTTTGATTCTTATGCATATGAGGGGCTATGAAAGTCAGTGGAAAATGGAATTGAAAGGTAACTGAATTTGCCCATGAACTTCTGAAGCCTCCGTATTAATAAGAATCACCTGGAGATCTTGTTAAACTGTAGATTCTGATCCCGTATATTTGAGATGGATAGGCAAATTCACATCAGGGGCTTAAACCAGAACGAACCAGTTCAAAACCCTAGGTATAACACAAGCCTAATGGTCTGATGATGGGCTCAGGCTCCTGGCTCTCCCAGAGCTCATCTTAGGGAGCAGCTCCCAGGGGGCCTGGGACAGAGGCTGAGGCACAGGGCAGGATGTTGTGGTATCATCAGGGCCCTATCAGCGGTGATATCAAAATGCTAGAGGAGGATGAGGAGAGAGCACTCCATTTTGTCTGCTGGATGGAGATGGAGATATGAGTACAGGGGTACATTGAAAGCATGTTTCTAAATAGGTAATGTATTCGTCCTGATCTGTGAACAGGTGCAGGAAAAAACCTGCATAATATGTTACATACTTACCGTAATTCTTTGTCTTAAAAAGCGTTAAGTGGATGAGCTATTACAAAAGTAAAAGTTCCATTATTGTACTTCTCATTAAAATAATACTCTGTAAAAAAAAAAAAAGGTGTTAGCTAGATTACAATATGTACTGATTATTAATACAGAATAAATGTTATATTGGCTTATGTTCTATTTTAGGCTACATTATTTACCCACATCTTTTAAGAGAAACTTGAGTATATTATGTTCATTTCCTAAAACTGTAAAGATCACACTTTCGGAACTGCAGCTTAGCACGACCAAAACTTCATTCTGTTAATTGAGTATTGGACAGACTAATAGTGCACCACCATCAAAGGGAAACAAGCATCTAGGAGAACCTGAATTCCGTTTCACATGAACTAATTACATCCAAAAGGCAATTGTGACTTTGATACCATCTATGAATCTGACAAAAGCCTACTTGTTTTCATCATCTCCTGCTAGTCCTCATTAGTCTAGTCGTCTTTTCTGCATTTCATCACTCTGAATAATCTGTTAATAATCTTTATTGTTTTCCAAATAACTGAGCAATCATGTGAAAATGTTTAAGCTATTCAGGTGATGCTGCTAAATCTGGGAGTGTTTGTTTACAAAGGCTGATCTCATCCAGTTAATGTTAACAACCCTGTTTGCTTGCTCTCCAGTAATGGTTGGGCTCTTTGAAAGATGGTACCCCTCCAAATGTTGGAACAATTTAAAGTCAAAGTACTTTAGAAACCCTAAAAAATTTGCTTTGTTCCTAAGTAAAATGTCTTATTAATGCACAAACATTGGTCAAAGGATATATAATATTTCACATTTTACAAAATTAAAAAATTAATTTAATTACTTCTAGTAAAGAAACTACCAGCCGCTCCGCGGGAGGA